CATCTCCAGGTCCGACACGGACTTGGCGATGCGGAACTTTTGCGTGTCGAGGCGCGCTATCTCGCTCGCATGCGCAGCGGACGAGTGTGTGGAAGTGAGCTCGCCGTGCTGGGAGTGGAGGGTGCCGAGGGTGCGCGCGAGCTTCTTGAGGCTGTTCTCGGCATCGCGCAGGCGCAGGTCGCGCGCTTGTTGGAGGGTCGATAGCGACTCGGACACCCGGGCAACGGCGAGCTTGTCGGGCGCGATGTTGAAGTTTGCGATCGTGTGCTTTATCAACTACTCACCTGATTTAGCAACAATGCAATAAAGCAAAGGCGGGTTGGGAAGTAAAGCATGAAGAGGAAAAGGAGGTGAAAACCTACAGTAGAAGGATCTTCCTCTAGAAGCATTTTGCCTTATTTTTCTTATTTTTTTTTCTCTTTCGGAGGTATGCAGCAGTATGGTTAGAACCGGTTGTGCTTTCGTGCTGCTTGATTGAAGGCGATGCTGATGGCGATGGAGATATTGTCGCGTTTGTCTTTTGCAATGATGGGCAAGAATCAATCGCCAATCCGGCACAGGTCGACAACAATCCATCACCCGGACGACAGGGCTGCTGGGAACGCTAAGGATAAAAGTGTTGGTAGGGATTCTTATCTTATCGCATACAAGAGCGCGCAATTGCTGTGGCCGCCACGGAGTCGTCATCGGTGGCACATGCTTGAAAAACGTCCGAGCTTCCATCAGCCGTTCGACCTTCGTTAAGTTTACTTGATACCTACCTTAGAGCATAGCAAACGAAGCAGCCCAAGCAAAACATTTACCTTTGATAACAGAGTGTAGAATTGAGTTCCGAATACATATCCAAAGAAGAACAATCGATCCCAATCCGGCCAAAATGCCGCAACTACCCTGTACGTTTAACCTTCTTGTTTCTCGGCGCAAAGGAAGCTTGACTGATGGTGACATTCACAGACGCAATCGATGCAGAAACGTGAGTGCGCGGCTTTCGTACGACTGGCAGACTGAGACGGCTGAAAACAGAAACCAGGCCACTGAATCCGGCAGAACTCTCTGTTCTCCGGGCGCAGTATGAGAAGGAAGGCGACATGGTCGGTGTGCAGACAAAGTTCAACTATGCATGGGTAAGCTTGGAAGACAACGGGACGAACAAGACCTGGGAACTGAATCACGATACACACAGGGCCTAGTCAAATCGAACGTCCGCTCCGACCAACACCTCGGCGTCATGCTGCTATCAGAAATCTTCCGCACATCGCCCGAGAGACGCCGGGAATGCCTCTACTACCTCGCTCTCGGCAACTACAAGCTCGGTAACTACGGAGAAGCGCGGAAATATAACGACCTGCTACTAGACAAGGAGCCGGCGAACCTCCAGGCGTCAAACCTGCGCACGCTGATCGACGATAAGGTAGCCAAGGAAGGGCTCATGGGCGTGGCCATCATCAGCGGCGTGGCCGTTGCTGCGGGAGTGATCGGGGGTGTTCTGTTACGGAATCTAGGTCGCAAGAGATGATGTCTGCTGTTTTTTTCCTAATCTCATCACTGTGTGTGACATTTTTCACCACTCCGGCTGATTTTTCTACATGGAGCGAGCTTTGGCAGATAGGGGCGGTGAACGCAAAGGCGAATAGTAATCTCCGCCGGCGGCATTGTATTTTTACATGGGATTGCAATGGACATGAGCGACTTTCGATAAGCACTGAAACAAGGTTTTCCATTTGTTTCTCTAGACGACCTCCACTGGCAATCGACCGGTGGCGATGGTGGTGGTGCCTGAGCTCAGCTACCCGGCATTGAGCGGCACGACTTGACGATGTGCGGGGAGGCCTACCAATAATTTAGTTGTGGCTGTGGCAGTGCAATATTTCCGTCTGTCTGCTCTGCCCCGCCTTGGAAAGCCTCGCGGGAAGTCGCGCGCGATAATCTACCAGTCTACCTAGGCACGTCTGATAATCAAGCCTGAATCGGATTGAATGGTGTGACGAGGGCTGAAGCCATGGCAGATTTTCTTGTCTCTAAGTCCCGTAACTTAAAGATCAAGCCAGCTACCTTACACAGCACAGCCTGCCCGGACTCCAGTAGTGTCCACAGCAGCGGGAAGCAGCGGGTACCTAAGGAGACATTGATAAGCTGTATTGCATGTACATACATACAACTGAACGTGTTGGTAGCAGCGCGTTTCACCCTGTGACCGTACAGGGGGATTGGTGACGTGACACACCGGCCAGGGCACCAGTGTGTCGCATGATAAGAGATAGTGTGTGTACGTATGTATGTATGTACATACATACGAAGTACAGGTAGGTTAACTTGGTTAATAAGTCAGTTCCTCCCGTCGCGGGGAAAAGATGCGCTAGCGTTCAACCGTGGAACAGCCCGTTATGCCTACGTGTGCACGATACACTGGGGGTCCAAGACAGAGAAGTACAATTGCGCTGATCCAAAACAACCTAAACGTCTATCGTTCCTAAATCTAAGTACCTGACACCTCCAGAGCCGCTTATATCAGAGCTCGAAGCTTTTTGCTCAAGCATTATCGTCCCATGTATATACCCCTAACGCAGTCATCCATCAACCCCGAGAACAGCGCCCGCTTTGCAGCGCAAGCCGATGGTGGGGCTGAACTTGGAAGCTTCCCGAGCCTTTCGTCACCTCAGCTGTACCCAGCGTCGCCATCCACAGTCCAAGCAGGTTCTGGGGCTCCCTTCAAAGCTACGGCCAAATTGAGAGCGCTTTTGGGTGTATATTTACAGGCTGGCTTTTAGAGCGCTTCGAGCCGCCGGCCTTGCAGTCGGCTTAGGAGTTACTGCCCTCGCTGCTTACCAACAGAGTCAGCAGCAGAGCAGACCGGCCGACATGTCCTTCTTCAACCCCCGCGGCCGTCATCTCGACGCGACGAGCGGTCGAGAGGTGGTATTTTGTCACCGCTGCCATAATGAGTGGTATCGTGACGAGCACGAGGACCTGCGGTGTCCGCGCTGTCAGAACGAGATCGTCCAACTGGTGAGATTACACTCACATCCCGATTACACCCACATCTATTTCTCTGTCCTCCCCCGCTAACCACACGCACCCGGACAGGTCGAACCTGGGAACGATCCCCGCAATATCAGTGACGACCCCTTACCTTCAGGTGCCGAGACAGACTCAGATCCCGGGGAAGGAGACATCGACGAGCATGATACCTACCGGCCAACGTTTCGGGCGCGTGCAGGACAGCCCCTCTTCAATCCCAACGATCCTATCGTCCAGTTTATCACATTGCTCAGCAATTCCGGCCTTAGGACAGCTGGTCACCCGCGGTCGGGTTCGAACTTCCCTCCTCCGTTCCCCGGCGCGGCGGTCCATGAGGAGCACTACACAGACGGCACTACTAGAACTAGATTCACCACCTACACGGCGACCTTTGGATCGGAGGGAAGCCCTTTACCCTTCGGTCCACCTGCGAACATTTTCTCGTATGTTAGCCCTTGACATCATCCTTCGCTCTCGATCTGGGTCACTCCAGACGTGAACTTAATCTGGTTTGTTGGTAACGGAGTGGGACGCTGACAATCTCCAATCGCATTTAGGCTTGTAGAGCGTTTCATGATGGGAGGAGGATTAGAGCGTATGGGCGACGCCGTATTCACACAGCAGGACTTCGATCGAATCCTGACCAGACTCATGGAGGATGCATCGCAGTCGAACGCAGCCCCGCCGGCATCACAGATGGCGATCGAAAGTCTGGAAAAGAAAAAGATCGATGACGAGATGCTAGGCCCCGAGGGCAAGGCCGAGTGCACCATCTGCATCGAGAACATGCACAAGGGCGACGAGGTGGTCGTGTTGCCATGTAAGCACTGGTTCCACGGCGAGTGCGTCACGCTATGGCTGAAGGAGCACAACACCTGCCCTATCTGCCGGACACCTGTCGAGGGAGGAGGGGGTAGGAATGGCGGCGGCGACGGTAACGGCAATCCGCAGCAGCAACAGCAGCAACAGCAGCAGTCTCAAAGATATCCCTCTGGTTCCGCTCGGAGTGCCAGAGACAACGAGGCTCGTCTAGAGTCCATTCAAAATCTAGCAAGCTTTCGCCCGAACATGCAACCCCCACAACGGGGGCGGAGGAGGAGCCCCTCGCCTGCCGCCATGCCAGGTGGTTGGTATGGTAGCAGTAGTATGGACCCTTCATCAAGCAGGGGAATTGATCGCGAGCATAATAACAACAACAACAACATCAACAATAACCGCGAAGGTAGCTCGAGCCAGAGCGGTTTTGCCCCGCTAAGTTGGCTAAGGGAGCATCTCGGCCGAGGGTCAGGGTCTGGGTCTGGGGCAGGGGGTTCTGGCAATAACAGCGGGAGTGGAAGTGGGAGTGGGAGTGGCAGCGGCAGCGGCAGTGGTTCCGGTTCCGGGTCTTTTGACAGAGAATGGAGGCGTTCTTAGTGAATCTACCCTAGTTTGCGGTATGGCGGCGGTGGTGGTGGTGGTGGTGGAGGTGTTTAGTCTGTGCGTGCGTGCGTGTGTGTATACGTGTATACGCGCAGCGGCTCCAGTAGCCGCGAAGAAATGACAGAGCTACTTATAGGCTCTTTTATAGGTTATGACAACATTACGGGAAAGGGAAGGAAGAGATACAGCATATCCGTTTTTGTGAGCGAGCGTGCGTCTTCGCAAAAAATTGTATGTATCATGGCATCATTCACTTAACGCTTTTCTCGTTGTCTTTTTCATATTCTCTTTATGTCATGATGGAGGAATATATCGGAATGGGATGGTATGGAATAGGACGGAATAGCGGGCTTGCAACGATACTATTAGGAATTAAGGGCATATAGTTTCAAGAGTGATCTCATAAGGGTTGGTGAAGGCATGGTGGTAGTCTGAGTGCCGTGTTTAAGGAGCTGGATGAAGTGGTTTGTCGAGTGCTCCTGACCAAGGCAGCAGATTTCTACATTGTTGGCGGCGCTGTCAGAGCGCCTATATAAGGTGGAAAAAAGCAGGTGATCCACAACGGCAAGGTGGCCGAGTGGTTAAGGCGCTGTGTTTAGGAATCAAGTGCTAAGCACAGATATATCCATCCGCAGTGGGAAACCTCGCGAGTTCGAATCTCGTCCTTGTCATTCGATTTTTGATCTTTAGTCTGCACAGTTGTATGCGGCGGGATGTCGGCTATGCCTGCTTTTTGTTTCAGGACCAACTACGTCTCTTTTACGTTGCGGCTGAAACATCCTAAAGATTTCCTGTGAACTACGTACCTATGCTTGGTCAGCCTCATGTCGACATTAGGTGCAGACATAATCTTTCACAGCGGATCACGGCATGGCGAACGAAAGCACACTCACAAACCCACATGGATACACACCGTAGTGTCTAGGTTGCGTCAAATGGCTCGCTTATCCCGAGTTACAGGTTTTTTAGTTAGGCCCATTCATATCAGTAAGGCTCTGCTCTGCTCTGCAAGTCTCGCGCGACTCGAAAAACTCCGAACCACTTCAGCGGGACAAAGTGCCAAGGACGGTTAGGGGGACTCGTCAGCTCCTTCACGGTGATTGGCCGATGCGCCCAACAAGGAAGGCACAACCCCTGTCTGGCACAGTCCGTCGACCCCCGCCGCGTCCCTCTGATTGCGCAACCCTTCATCTCTGCCCATCCGTGAGCGAAGCACATCGGAGAGGGGGGGCCGTAGCCTGTAGATCTGATATCTTCTTTACATGTAGGTGTGCTATCTCTTCTCTTCTTCACGCTGTTTTCGTCTCTTCTTTTTTTCTGTCACGTTGATTGACGCAAGCCAATCTTGTTTTCTTTCTGGGATTACCCCCCACAATCCGTTGAGCGTCGTCGCTCACTTACTCTTATTTCTATATACTGGTCTGCCCTTCGGTGTCTGTCCTTACACAGCAAGTTCTTGGCAGCAGTACCGTTTTCTTTCCTTTCCCCTTTTGGTGCTTCCTTTCTGCCCCCGTTACCTAGTGTTTTGAGGGATTGGTTCCTATTGCATTTAACACATACGAGAGTGCGCGTGGCCCAGTATGCGCGGCCTCTTGGAGGCTGCCGCCATCTTGCTGGCGCCGGCGCTGGCAGGTGCTAGTTCTGTTGAATTCCAAGGTATGGCCCCCAACGACTCGACAGCCGACGTCCGCTGCTGACATGTACACTGAAGATGCGATCCCCTCTGCGTACATCCGACTCCAGCCTGTCTTTGAGGCGGATCAGGCTGACACTCGTGAATTGGTACGTGATCTAACACCGAGGTTGTTAGTAGTATGTGCTGACTGCGAAATAGACGTTCCGTCTGGATGTCAACGAGTCTCGGGAGGCATGTGGCTACGCAAACATCACCATCAACGGCGAGACGCTGCCTCAGGGCGGGCGAGGCACGCTGGCCCTGGACCAAGGCACCACCGTCATCGCTAACTGGGACTTCAAGTGCGTCGACTGGAATGGGAAATCCCAAGAACAGCTGATGAAACTCAACTTTGAGTATGTCGATGGCTCCAAAGTCGCCCAGGACACCGGCGTCACCATCCGCTTCCAGCAGGTTGCGCCCGTATGGATTTCCGACATCGAGGGGCCAGGGGCCAGCATGACGCGGGTTCACAAAGCAAAGGTCGGTGTGCCGACTGAAGACGGATTTACCCAGGAAGATATGGAGGGCGAGCTTGAACAGGAGCTGGCCGAGCTGGAGATGCTCAGGTACCATATGGTTGAGCTCGAGCAGATGATCTATGAGAAGGAGAAGGCTCTGGGAGAGGCGTTCGGATGGTCCGATTCCAAGAATGGCGGTGGAAGGATTCGTGACTGCGACAGTCTGAAATGCGTTGCTAAGTCCCTCTACCACAAGATCAGCAGTGCGGCCATGGCTTTCTACGACGAGGTTGCCGTATACGAGGACTTCTTTGACGGTCCGGGCGGACGGCACGGAGGACCTGGACGCCATCACAGGCGACCGCACTGGAGACGGCCACACGGAGGACATGGAGGTTGTGGTAACCATACCCAGCATGGAAACCACAGTCATCATCACCACGGCAATCATACGCATGGCAACCATACCTTGCCTCCTCCGCCATGGAGCCGACCGCATCATCCTCCCCACTGGAGGCGTCCTCCTTTCCATCACCCACCACCGTTCTGCCACTGCCCGCCGCCGCCGCATCATCCTCCACCGCACCATCCTCCGCCGCATCACGCTCCTGGAAGGCGGCCTCCTCCGGGCGACGGCCCGCATCACCCGCATCACCCGCCTCACCACGGCCCCGGCAACGAGCCTGGCAAGAGGCCCCCTCCTCCAGGTCACGGCGGTGATGGTGAGGAACCCCCGCACGGAGAGTGGCCACCGCACCACCGTGGACCATGGTTTCAAGTAGACGATACTCCGGAGGATTCAGACGGCCACCGACCGCCAATGGATGGCGAGCGACCAGAGCACCCGGAACATCCCTTCCCTCCTCCGCCTCCAGAAGACCGCCATCCGGGTGAGCCTCCCCGTAGAGGGCCGCCGCATGATGGCCCACCGCGACACGGGCACGAGGGTGGACCTCACAGGGGACCTCCTCCCCACGATGGACCGCATCACGGACCCGGTGGCCCGCCCGGTAGACATCACGGCCCGCCGCCGCCGCCACCCTTCCATCATCGGATCCCTCCGCCAGTCAAGATCGGCGCATCGGCAATCCTTCTCTTTGTCCTGGTAGGCATGTTACACAAGCGTTGCTGTTCAAGGGACAGAAAGGCAAAGCGTGCAGTGCGCCGTGAAGCCTGCCGACGTCGTCGTTGCGCCGGTGGTCGCCGAGCCTGCCGTGGCCGAGGATTCCTGAGTCGTCTATTCTTTGGCCTCCGTAATCGTTACGATCAGGAAGAAGAAGAGAAGTCCATGTTGCTAGAGTCGGAGCACGAAGCGGAAGAGCACAAGGAGGAGAGTGTGCAAGAGGGGCAGGGAGAGCTCACGGTGGCTCAAGAGATCGCCTCCTTCCGCACGGCTGCAGATCTGATTGGTGACATGGTTGCCGCTGAAGAAGGGCGCGCTGCTGCTCCTGTTCAGCAGCAGCAGCAGCCATATCGGCTTCACCCTGCCTTAAACGTCCCCATCATAACCCCTGTTACGGGCTATCTGGTGATAGATGAAGAGGAGGAATTGCCGGCATATAAGCCTGCTGAAGAGTCGGAGGGTTCAGATAGTGTAGTCGCGGATGGGTTCAGCAACTACACTCCCAGCAGCACCGCGTCCGTTGTAAGTGGAGGCGGGGCTGATGATGTTCTTGGGGATACTAAGCACTAAGCTTGGTCGAACGAGACCCATGGTAACGTAGGAGATTTTATGGCAAGACGTATCACTCTTTTCTTTTGTTTACCCTACTTAGGCCCCGCCATGCTGTTTCCAAGCAAGGCTAATATCTCCCGTTTTTAGGGGGCAGTTGATGGTCTCTACTTTTTACCTCGATCATATTCCTTATCTTTGCTCTAATCTGCATAACCGCATGTATTAAGTGCGCCGTCTTGAATGTTGAACGTCGCTGTGAAAGACCATGGAAACGCCGCAACCCCTTTTCTGTGGATTTGCTGCCCCCAATCGCAGAAGATCGCGCTTGCTATGAATAGAATCAGCAAGAGTACAAAAAGGAATTGTCGTTGAGATGCACCGAGAAGATGTAGTATGCTCTACAGTCTTCACCGGACTAGACGTGGCAACTTCATGTCGATAAGCGACGCACTGCTATTGTTCGTGTTTCAATAGGTATTAACAAAGTGATGACATACAATAGAGGAATGGCACTCCGTGAAATGCTAGACCGCCACCTTGGCGGGGTAGCTTTGCACAGCGCCCGCGTTTGCTCCGTCCCAGCGTTTATTTAACGACTGCCCTTATCAGCGGGCCCCAGCAGCTGCGAGCAGGTGCCGTTTTCCCAGAAGGCCCCGCGCTCAACATGAATCCCTGCCCCACTGAATTTGCGGCTTTCCACTCAATCTTGTCTCCTCAGCGTAGCCAATCTTGCGTTCCAGGTACAGTACATACCTCCCTCCATTCCTTCCTATTGATCCATTGGTCTGGCACAAATTCCACGTACGTACCCAAGCGCGAGTGTGGGCTGAACTTGGGGGGTCGCCTTTTCCGCAACTTTTCTGACGAGCGCCAGGATTTCCGGATCGCCTCTGTCAACAGCCAGCTCTTGCCGGACTGAACTTGTACAATATTTTTGGGACCACCTCTATTTGTGCATCTGAAGAAGTTCCGAGCACCTATATCCGACGAAGGGATATACCCCGCCATAAAAGCTCCGGTGCCGAGATAGCGGAGAGTCAGACACACAACATATACTACAAGCCTGGTCTTCTCTGACATCATGACCGAAGACGCTCAGAATAGGAGCGACGCCTCTGACCGCGCGGAGTTCGCTCGCAGCGCGAAAGAAGACCGCGAGACCACGGCCGCGCGCAGGGAGTTGAAGCAGACCTCGATTTCAGAAAAGGAAGATAAGGCCGAACAGTCGTCGCAGGAAGACGACAAGAGTGCATCCTCAGACGACGACGCCTCATCCGCTCGGCAAGCGACGCCCGACAAGGGCGAAGCGAACATCGACGCGCTTAAGGATCAGGTTGGGTCTCCGAAGAAGAAGAGGGCGCACGACGAACTCGATGAAGTTAATAAGAATGACGACAACGACGGCTCGGCTTCGGACGAGGCGCCCTCCAGGACAGACAGGTCAGAACCCGAGAAGAAGCGAGCCAGAGACCGCCAGGAGTCTGCAAAGTCGTCGAACGACAAAGCGGTAAGATATCCTTCATACCCCGCTCTGGCTGTATTCTCTCTCTGCTGCTGTCGCGGACCTTATACCTAACCGGCGCTTTACATAGGAATCATCCTCGACTACGATCACTTCACCGCGACGAAGGAGCATGGAAAAGACGGTGTTTGGTTCTAGAACAACCGCCGCCGCTGCAGCTCCGTCTTCGCCTGGTACAAACGGGAGCATGCCCACGACCTCGGCCTCTGCGTTCGCCAACTCTGGATTTTCAAAGCTAGCAGCATCAGCCTCCCCGTTCGGCGCCGTGGCCAGTTCGGGCAAGCCAAGCATATTTGGGGCACCTCTTGGATCAACTTCCAAGCCTGCAGGTCCTGCAG